CTTCTTCTTCTTCTTCTTCTTCTTCTTCTTCTTCTTCTTCTTCTTCTTCCTCCTCCTCCTCCTCCTCCTCCTCTTCTTCTTGATTTGAATCAGGCAGATTCCCCCCCACACCTTATTTATAACAAAACTGTGTGGAGAGTGTTGGAATTTATGAGAATAATGCAAGACTAATAAGGATACCTACATTGGAATAATTTGGTATTAAGATCAAAATCTTGGACCCATTTGCCTGATAGTAATCCCCAAATTCAGTGGCATTTACTTATGAATAGGTATTATAAACTTCTGTTTCCTGTCTAGCTGCTACAATGGTATGGCTAGCCTTGCTTTCCATATTTATTCCTTCGGAACGTGGAGGAGCTAAACCTCCCCCAAAATGAAAGTGCTGAGGGGTTTCATATGGCTTATAAGTATATATTGCTTAGAAGTAAGCAATAACATTTTTGCTATGAAAACACACACAATGTTTAAAACAATAAAAGGAGGCAATTCTTTACAAACCTATTAAATTTATGCATCTAATCTGGCACCTTTTCGTTTTTAGTCAATATTAGCCCCTCTAACTAAATGATTGACTGACATCAAATGAATACTTAGAGGATTTCCCCCCTAATACAAAAAAGAGCTGTTTTTAGTTTGAAAGCTTGAGAATCACTGGCTTGTTAAATTAAACATCTTCTTAAATGCTTTTCAGCTTTTCTGTGAAAATTAAGTTCCGTTGCATTATTTTGTGCCTTCAAGTCTTGACTTCTGATACGGCTACCTAATTCAGCAACATTCCAGAAAAAAGATTCCATTTGAAATTTGTGATTTCTCAGTTTAACTTGAACAATTAGTCACAATAGGAAAGTACTGTATCATGTGCTTTCAAATGATATGTCAGTGAACACTGTTCATTTTTTTTTCTAGCTATTTCAAATATAATGTAAGGCTTGGGTACCTAATGTGATGTCCAGAAGCAACACTGGTGCCTACCAGTGCATTTCTTAACATCTGCAAAAATCTCTACCATACCTGATTGTATTTATTTAAATTCATTTAGTAAGCAACAATGATTGGAAAGCTAGCATGTTCTAAAACACAGCACCAGTGTTAAATTTCTAATAATATTACTGGACTTTCAGTGGCTGCAACTTGGGTTTTTATTTTCCTTCTAGTAAAAGATGTTTGCGACTGACTTCATTTATCTTAGCAAGCCATTTAGTGGGAAAGCCTATATAGTATTTTTTTTAAAACGCTCATTCATTTAAAAAGGTTAAAAAGGCTTAAAATTGTTAGCCATACTCTCTTCGTTAATGGTATTCACCAAAAATATTTCTTCCTCCCAATTGTAGAAAATCAGTAATCTAGTATTTCTGTAATTCTAGTCAGCAAAGAAATCCTCATGAGGGACCTTGACAAGGTTCTTTCTACCTATTATTTTACCTTTTTGTTCTTTTCAATCTTTTTTCACAAAAATTGGATGCTTAAATGTGACATGCCTCCAAGAATTAAGAGAGGAATTACCCTACTCAGGTCACAATACTTACCTGTGCTATTCCATGTCTGCTTCATTTCTTACACAACCGTTCCCTACCCCAGCTCTTCAGATAAAAGTTAAATGTGAATGTTAAATTCCATCATAAGATATTGAGCTGGGCTGATAGAAGAAACTGCATTTTATAACATCTGAAGCATTGCAAGGCTGCAGGAGGCTCCCGCATTATCAGTTTTCCATGTAGCTAAGAAATAGAACCCACCGGAGTCTCTATAGATGAGACCATGGTTTGATCTTACTGAGCCGTGGTGCCTCAGTGGTTAGAATGCAGTAGTGCAGCTAATTCTGGTCACTTCCAGTACTTTGATCACTTCCAGGCACAAGGTTGACTCAGCTGTCCATCTTTCTGAGATCAGGAAAATAAGGACCCAGATTGTTGGCAATATGCTCAGGTTGTAAATTGCTCAAGAGAGTATTGTAAAGCCCAAACATTTGGGCACCAAGGACAGGTGCCTGCGAAGTAAGTATGTACTATCAGGATGTCATGGAGCACTATCAAGATGTTATGTTATGTAGGAGTTTGTTTTTTTCCTATGTGGTTCAGCGTGGCTCTGCATGCCCTGTTATCCACTGGGCCATGGGTGACCGCTACGCCTACACAAGGAATTATATTACAACAGGTGCCGTGGAATTTTTTTTCCTCCACGGACCGGTGTGTGTACGCATAGTTTCATATGTTACCTATTTCCTGCGCATGTGCAGATGAGGGTTCACTCACTTGCGTAGCCGGTTCCTATGGGGGCTGGGGACTCCTGCTGTAAAGCACTATGGAGTGGTATATAAGTCTAAATACTATTGCTATTAGTTAATTATGCTACGTTTAGGGGATAGTAAAACTGGTCCCCGCAAGAAAATTGGGAGAGAAACAATTTATTAAAAGGCAGTAGTAGTACTTGGCCTTTTCCTATTTCTATCTGTTCTATGGAGAAATTTTCTTAACTTCTACCACCAGATTCCTTAACAACCACTATGAACTATATTATAATGTTCATTTCCTTGTCTGCCTTGTTTGCATATTTAGTGACTTTTTTTTTTTTTACATAAAAGCAGGGAAAAGCAATCCATTCTGGCCGGAAAGGGCAATAACAAGGATGGTTGTTGTCCAAAAGCCTTCTACACCTGAACAAAAGCTGTGTGTATGTATTTGGGAGTGAAGCAAACTGCTCCTATGCCTTATTCAATCACATTCCTTCACTATAGGGACCTTTCTTCGTGATCCAGTACCCAATGAAATAGAAACTTCACATCATCATAATGCAATGTTATCAAAAGCAAGTCAATAATGTGGTGCATGGTAAAACAGAGGGCATGCTAATGATATAATTATGAACAATAGTCCTGTCAATGATGTTAAGAAATTCTATATTTCATGTTCTGGCTTGAAGTGAAAGAGTTGGGATCAAATAATTATCCAACTTCAAATATCATATTTGCATCTAAGTCTCAACGAGAAATAAATGTTCTGTTATAGTTTATGGGTACTTACTTGATTGAATTAAACCTCCCTTCTATTAAACTTAAAAGAAACATAGGAGACTCTTTAAAACTGCACACCCACATCCAGGCTTCCATTGTAGTGAGTAACAATACCGTATGACCCCATTATACTGTACCTGCATCCTAAGATCTGAATGCTTTTCCTTGTGTATTTCTCAATAGCAGAAAACTAAAACAAAATGATGCACAATGAACAGATTCTTGTGGACTTTGGAGAACACTGATTGTTTTTTTAAAAAGGAGGGGTGGTTTAAAGCTGTATTGATAAAAAAATAACTTATCTGAGCACAGAATCCTGATAATAGAGTTCGAATGAAATTGGGATATGATTAGACTGACGATACAATAAAGTGTAGAGAAAGATGTCCAGAGATTCTCTCCCCTTTTAACACTTGGCTAGTGCTTTGTTATAGGTGTAGGAATTCAGTCTCAGTGAATTCAATTGGATTTACTCTCAGATAAATGCCTGTGGGAGTACAGGTTGTTTCTGTGGCAGCCATTTGGCAAGAACAGCAAATGTACATATAAAATCTAATTTTCTGAAGCATGTATCTAGTTTTTATGATTTTTTTAAAAAAATAAAATACGTACTGTGCCCTACTGATTGACTGATTATATGCTGTTGAGTTGCTGTCAACTCTTAACAACCACGTATATATTCTCCAGGAGGAACTGTTCTCAATTTGATTTTCCTATAGTGCACCCAATACTACTGTAATTGAATCCATCTCTCTAGTAACCATCCTCTTCTTCTTTTCTCCTTGCAGCATTAGGCCTTTCTCAAAACAGCTAGATATTTGCATACTGTGCCCAAAGTAGAATAATTGAAGCTTGATAATTTATGCCTCAAGTAAAAACCCTGGGTTGATTTGTTTTCTTAGCTGTCCATAGTATTCTCATGACTCTCTGCTCCAATACCAACATTCAGAAGCTTCAATGCATCTTTTATTCATTTCACTTTGCTTGCTTTTTAAAAGCCCAGAGTAGAATTGATTACACTGATGCATGGAATCAACGGAATAATAATATAAAATGCATTGAATCCAATGATCACTTTTGTTTTTGCAAGATTGAATAGGCAAAATTGGAGCATAAAATGAAATTAGACAATCTTACTCTTAATACTACCAGTAGGATCCAAACAATGTGTTAAATGCAAACCATTCAAAGATTAAAAATGGGCTCAACATGATCTCGATCCAGAGCTGGGGTGGGGGAGAGCCGTGTTCAATCTTTTAAAAGGCAGGAGGATCCAGCCTATTAGGAGAAATGCTGTTTCAACTATGGTGATGGAGAAGGCATATCTCCTGGGTCCCCTAAGATGATGCTTCTTAATAGATGGGGCACAAAGCATATTTTTAATTTATTTATATCAGACCTGCAAACAACAGTGGAGACAAACCCACTAATAACTGGCTTCTATGGCCATACCGATACCTGCATGCTGTTTTCATGTAAAAACGCAGAAGGTGGTGGCTCAGCAGAATGACTAATTCCATCTACATTCTTCATCCTCAGATAAAAATCTAAACTTCAGATATCATCATAATTCATATCTGGCCTACTTTTTGTTTTTCTTTCTTCCCCTGATTTTAATATCATATCAGTCTCATAAAGAGTTCTGAAGAACTCAAAAATGGGTAGCCCATCAAATTATGGGATTCGTTTTTTTTATAGAAGTGAGATCTTGTGCTGATAAAAATGCTATATCCTTTGTAATCCATAGTGTTCACACAGCATTTTCAAACTCTGTATTATGTAAGAT